TAATACCTCTAATAAACAAGTGCACTGGCAAAACATTTGTTTAGTTTCGTTTTGATTCGGATTTTGCTTTATTTCGTTTTTCGGGATTCGGGTCCGAAATTCAATTCGGTTCAATTCAATTCGGATTTGGAAAAACTCGTTAGCGGTAGTGCGGTTGAAATTTAATTTCGTTTTCGTTTCGTTCGTTCGCTGCAGCAAAATTACATTTCAGAATTTTTTTTTTTTAGTCTACAGAAGAAGGAAAAAAAAGCGTGAGGTTCCCCCCCAATTCATACCAGACCCTTTAGGTCTGGTAGGAATGTTAGGAGGGACCCCCCCAAGTTAAAACACAAAAAAAGTGCGTGGGGTTCCCCCCAAAATCCATATTAGGCCTTTTAGGTCTGGTAAGAATTTTAAGGGGGAACTCCAGCCCCCAAAAATGGGGGAAAAAAACGTGCCCCCCCCTAACATTCTTACCAGATCCTTGATCCGAGCACTGGCCTGGCAGGGCAGGAAAGGGGGGGGGGGTTGATCAAGAGCCCCCCTCCCTGCACCTTACCAGGCCATGTGCCCTCGGCATTGGGAGGGTGTCAAGGGCCTCTTCCCCACAACCCTGACCCGGTGGTTGTGGGGGTCTGCAGGCAAGGGGGCTTATTTGCATTGGGGTACCCCCTTTAATTAGGGGGGCACCCAGATGCCGCCCCCCCCCCTTGTGAATGAGTATGGGTACTTGTACTCCTAACCATTCACTTAAGGGTTAAATAAAATAGTTATTAAAAAGTCCAGACTTTTGATAAAATTGTTTGAGAAAAAAAAAAACAAAGAGACAATTTTTGACTATTCCTTTAATTTAAAAAAAAATAAAAAAATGGCTCCATTGATGTAATCCAGCGTGAATCACGGTGCACGATGCTTGCCGACCCGCCAACATAAAAAAGTCCCACCGCACGACGACCGTCCGATCCCGACGAAAACTCGCCGCAAAATGACATTCCGGCTTGAAAGTAAACATTCTGTGAGGCATTCGGAAGTTCCCGAATGTCCCCCCCCTTTCCTGCCCTGTCGGGCCAGTGCTCGGATCAAGGGTCTAGAAGGAATGTTAGGGGGGACCCCACTTTTTTTTCCCATTTTTGGGGGCTGGGGTTCCCCCTTAAAATTCCTACCAGACCTAAAGGGCCTGGTAGGGATTTTGGGGTGAACTCCACGCACTTTTTTTTATTTTAACTTGGGGGTCCCTCCTAACATTCCTACCAGACCTAAAGGGTCTGATATGAATTGGGGGGGGGGGGCCCCCAAACTTTTTTTTTAACCTCTTCTGCAGACCAAAAAAAAAGTAAAAAAATGTTTCTAATGTAATTTTGCTGCAACGAAATTTCGTCCAGACTACCGCTAACGGAATCGGAAATTCGGATTCGTTTGCATTCATTATATATCTGTAATTTGGTCCGAATTTCCGAAATTTCGTCCGAATTTCGATTCGGAAGCAAACGAATTGCACATGTCTAACCTCTAATACTGAAGCTCACAACCATAACAAGCCCCAGGTATACTCGTACTAAAAACAAATGTTAAAATAAGCAAGGAAGGCACATATAAACTAAATCTGTCACTTCCTCAACAACCAAAAGGTCAAAGGCCATCCTTTAAATAAATGTCTATTAGATGGCTACACATTATTTCACAATAATATCATCAGTACTTGCTGTGTCTGACACCGCAGGAGCCTCAATAATACTACATCCAAAGATATGTTTTTCCTGCAAGGATGTTGAATATTAAACATACAAATGGTGGATTCTTCTGTGTGATCCAGCCAAGTCAGTTATTAATTTCCATATCTTGGTAAAAAAAACCTGAAAAGCCATTTATGACACTTGCTTAAAGGATTATTGTTCTGTTTGTATGGAAGAGGTGGAGCCACTAGTTGTATTTGTAGACTTTGATGGGCGATGTGCGATTTGAAATGCAATTCTATCCTACTGTAGGTGAAGTCACAGCTCTGACGTCTCCAGGAAGCCTATTTAAAAGGGATCAAAACCAGCAATTACTCAGAACACATAAAGCAGCTCTTCTCCTCCAGAGGAATCACAGGGATTGTACGTGACACCTACCTAACAGGTAAGCACGATGCCTCATCCTCAATTTCTTCTGTGTATCCTTTTTGTGAAAAGTCACTAAAAACTTTTTGAGTATCTTATTTTTTTTATCAGCTCAGTGTACAGTGAGACAGAAAGCCAATATCATATTTACTATAGATTTAAA